GGCTGTGAACGGCTCAAGTATTTGTAAAATCTAAGTGACTCGTACAACATGGAATTCATATAAAACGGAATAATCAACAGTGTTATAGGGGATCGACTGTATTAGTGGTTGCAATCTTATGCTTTTTCAAACCTTAACGTCCTCATTCTGCTCCACATTCCCCTACTAATATTGGATTGTTTTCCATTCAATTCGTTGAGCGTTTTGCTTTAAAAGATGTAAGAAAGAACGATTCGGTTTGGTTTTGAAGTAAGAAAGCAAAACAACTCAAAGTCATCTTTCGAGGAAAAATACCTCTCCGAAATGCTATTCTATAGGGAACTGACTCCTATTTACGTGCAGAAAACTTGGAAAATTTTACTTGGCCAACACGTCGATTAGGGAGCGAACCCAGTACCAATTATCGACTTTCGGTGCTTTCGTCCATTCGGCCACCGATAGTCTAAGAAAGAACGAAAAGTATTGCAAGGAATATTTCAGAGAGATCGATGAATGTAAAAGTTCTACCAAAGATTATTATTATCTATTTTAATCTGTGAGATCTATAAGACGTAAAATAAATTTTACACCCCCATAATAAACGAGAAGACAAAGAAATAGTTACGCCCACAGTCGGTGGTACAGTACAATATGCACGAAACCAAGCGAGAACTGATTGGCACGCGATAAAAGAAATGTAATGCCACACACGAGCGAGGGTCCGACTCGAGTGTTCTACCCGATTATTTACCTTACAATATACGGCAAGTCTACTACAGAAATAATTGTCCGAAATTTAATTAATAACATTCGAGTTTACTTTATTTAAAACTTGAAAATAACGAACATCCCACGAAATTTATAAAGGCCGACACGTGACTTGCCTTATGTATTAGCCGATTCAGTGATATAGCCGATAAATGCCTTTGCGATTTGGCTCTAATCACGTATCTACCAAAGTCGAATATCCTTATCTAGTTTACTTTATTAAAGAATATGGCGTAATCAAAAAGTAGTTATTTCTCTTTATTTAAATTGATTTTTTTGTTACATATTACTAATGCGCTCGTTGCATTCGTTTTATTGTAGTATTTATTCCGGATGACACCGTATCATAGTTTTGACAGTTCCGGGGACCTCTCTCTTAACGAATTCGAAGGCTTCTATGGCTTCTTCCAGTTTGAAGCTATGAGTAATCACAGGAAGACCATTAACGGCGCCGCTTTCGAGAAGATCGATGGCTCGCTGATAGCTGTTAAACATTTTAAATTTCGTTTATTGATAACAACCGGATAGTTCGGGATGTCCTACCTTAACCCCCTTTAAAATATAGGGGTAATGTAGGATATCCCAAAACACTCAGTTGTAAAACGTGAAAGATAATTCGCGATCCCTTACTCTCTCTATTTTCCATTTTCTTTCGAAATTCTTGAGATGTACTGTACGGTACTGTACATTGTCGTCACCGTAGATAACGGTGATGATAATGTACAGTACCGTACTATACTTCTCAAGTTGATTGCTGTTGGTTTAATTAATTAATAAGTACTTTTCCGTAAGCGAGAACGGGGTTTTGTATGCAAGATTTAATTTTCCGTTCGGATCATCGAATAATAAAACCTCGATGTTCAGGGTGGCCATAATTAAGACGAGTCGGACAAAAATCGGACAAGGGGGAGTGGAGGGTTTGAGCTTCAGTGGACTTTCGTATTAAAATTTATACAGTTTATGCATTTTATTACATTTATTTCAAAATTTCTTATATGTTTCATTTCTACTTACGTAATCATTTACATAATCCTTAAACCTTTATCACCATAATATTTATGGTATTATGATGATAAAGGTTTAAGGAGGGTCGAATTTTATTGGACGTCCGAAGAGAGGAGAGGGTTATAGAAACTTGGAAAAACTGGACAAGAGGGGGAAGGGGAGTAAAAATTTCAAGAAAAATGCAGACGTAATTTATGGACAGCCTCATATAAATATTTTCAAAGGCAGTAACTCATCAATAAACATAATTTATTGATATTCAAAGTAAACAAGTTTGGCGTACCAAATTTTATGCCTTTGTGTCCTTATCTTATAGTTCTGTACTTAAATTTAAGTACATAAGTTTGGTGTACATTTGTTTTACAGAAACACCACGATATGCTTGATTATCTGATACGGTGAGTCAGACAGACATTTGAGCTTCGTCTGACTGCTGCATACTGCTCTCATCATTAATATCATCAATTCGTTTGGTATCATCATCTATATAAGCCAAAAATATTCGCTTTAGTGGTATTCTTGGCACTACTGGCTGTCTCTATAGATGCTGAAAAAAAATCAAATTTTGTAGGAACCGACGTTTCACGCAAATAGGTTATCCGTTCTGTGTGCAGAAACAGTTAGATTCAAAGTGCGGACTGCAAAGAACACTACTATCGCTGTGTTTCCATTTATCACGGCTTATCGCTGTCAACCACCGACCGAAATATTGCTTGTTTTAGGACACCTGTCAACAAAATATCCATCCTGTGATAATTTTACGTACAAAAACGATTTGAATTACAGCATTAGATAACGAAACACGCTTCCCGTGATCTGTAAAACTCTCGTAAGTCCCGAGTCAAACTGTAGTTCAATACTTAAATAAAAAAATAATAATAATAATCAACGTAGGTAATAACGAACTTCTGAAGGAACTTTAATGAATCTCCAGAAATATTTCTTTAGGAGTTACGCGTTTTGATTGCCAAACGACAATATAGTATCAGAGCAACTATACCTGTATCTAATTTACTGGTGAAACGTGATACCGGATCCTTTTTTATATCTTGTACAATTAACTCGGTGACATTCCTGTTATGCTCCTGTGACAATTTCCGCATACTAGAGTCTAAATAAATAGCAATTATACCAGAAATGGCTACCATAAGTCGGCATACAACAATCTGTCCACAGCATATACACTTTTTGTCTTAAACTGTCATGGCGGCGCCTACTTTCTTTGGCTACAGACAGCGGCGCTAATTTCTACGTTAACTTTCATCCTTCGCATGGTATGTATACAAATTTTGGTGTCAATCTGCTTATTGGTTACAGCTACAGAGTTGTGAATAGGAAAATTTAAATTATGGCCACCCTTTAAAGGATTTATTCTATAAACTTGTTGCAATGATATTCGTCACAGTATCGAGAATATGTGGCTTACATTATGTAGAAAAATATATTATTACCAGTTCGGATATCTATTTACTCCGACAATGTCTACTTCTTTCAGCATGGTTTCCGGTAACGGTAGCTTGGAATCTCCCGGTCCAATTCCCACCACCACCACTACACCTCTAGGTTTCGTCGCCTATAATTATATTCTTAATAACAATTATAAGAATACGATTAAATACATTAGTTTAAAACTTCGGACAGATATAAGGCCGATTGTAATCTCTCTGGTTATGCACGCGATCTCTAGCAAATGGTGTGCATAACCAGAGGTTACGAGCAGCCTTAAAATTCATAAAATTTAGTGAAACGAACTTTAATTGGTAGTTTTTAGAGTTAAAAATTTTAACACCAGGCATTGTTCCCTACCTTTAAAGCCACCGTTACCGTAGCTTGGAATCCACAACAGTCCAAACTAACGTCCGGATTGGCCCCTAGCGATTCCACCACTCGTCTGACACAGACGTCGTCGTCGGGATCTGCCAAAACGGTACAATCTGCTCCTAATTTCTTAGCGAATTCCAATCTGTCCTTCCTGACGTCTGCATCGAGAATTAATCTTCGGTGTACAAAGTGCACGCGACAAATTCCCGAAGTCGTTCTAAAACTCACCTGTCACGCAAATTCTTGTAGCTCCAAATGCCTTGGCAGTTAGCATGGTTAACAGGCCGATGGCGCCTGTCGGAAATAATCTATCCGTTATCAATTTCTGCCCAAAGTGGAATTTAATGCCCCCTGGTCTCACCTGCTCCGCAGATTAGAACTTTGTCCCCGCCCGTAACTCTACCGCGACGACAAGCGTGAAGGGCCACGGCCAAAGGTTCTACTAAAGCACCCTCTTCGAATGTTAGTTTATCCGGAAGCCTGAAGACACAATGAAATTTTTGTATCGTTTTGTTAATAATAAAATACAATTTCGTCCATTTTCTTACTTGTAGCAAAACTGGGCGGAATGAGTGATGTATCGAGTGAAGGTTCCGTCGTGCGGACACGCTCCCAATCTTTTCAGATCTGGACATAAATGATAATTTCCTTCCAAGCAAAGAGGACATCCCAGACAGGGGCCACTCGTCTCTATGACGACTCTATCCCCTGAAATCGCACAGAAACGTATTCGGCATTTCAAAGAAACCGATTGAAATTCGAGACCGACAGAACACCCTCACCTGCTTTGAAATTTTTAACGCTTTTTCCAACTTTCACTACGGTTCCACTGGACTCGTGACCCAATACGGTGGGGGTTACGGTCTTCATTTTAGCCAATTCACCCCATGCCCACATATGAATGTCGCTAGCGCAAATTCCCGTGCATCGAATAGCTATAAGGACCTCTACAAGGGGAGAGACAAAGGTTAACCTCTATAAGGAATCCACTTCCTTAAGACCTGACTTACCGGTTTCTTTAGGTTCGGGTATATCGCTCTTCTCCTAATGTCAAGAAAACACTTATTTAATAATATAAAGACATCGGTTTTGTTAATCGAATAAGAAAATCGATTAATTTACCAGTGTTAATTTCTGAGAAGGGTGAAGGACCAAGGAAAGATTTTCTCCTCTCACGGACATGATGCACACTTCTTATGCCAGCCAGACCAGTTCTTAGACTAATTTATCGCGATTTAGTAAAATCAAGGTCATTGTAGGCGTTTTCCTCATCTTATCCTATCGCAGTTCATACTTTGTATTTTGTGATAAGTTCATCAGATTGTAACCCGTAGTAATTTTTGCGTGGCAAAAATAGAACAAAATGAAAGTTAATGGAAATTATATACATTGTACTAGGGCGCTTCTTTCACCCGTTCAATTTGTTTGTTTAGTTATGGCAACGCAACACTTTGGGCAATCTGCCTAAGGGGATGCCTTCCGGGAGGTCTTTTTAAGGGAAACTGGCCCCTATTTAGGCGTTACAGACGTGGAGAAAACTCGGAAAACTCCACGTGGCCAGTCTGTCCGAGCGAGGCGCGAACCCACGACCGAATTCCCAGTGTTCAGCGTACGAAGACCGCTCGGCCACTGGTGGGCCATGTGGTTACGAACACGAAACAATATTTTCCTTGGTACAGTTCGGTACGAAGTACAGATTTAATTTAAAATCGATTTTAATATTTACAATATTCAGACTAGTTTCAACGCTCGAGTTTCCTCTTTGTACAGGTCCAAAGGGTCTTTTCCGTCCGATTCTCGTTCTTTCTCCAAATGAAAGTCCAAAAGAGTCCTAATTCTTTGTTTCAATTTCTCCACGTTGTAAGCCTTGGTGGCGGAAATCGGGACGACATCGTCGAATTCCATCATTTTGGAGGGTCGAATTTCTGGGGGAAAATCTTCGGCGCACTCTGAAATTGTCAAAATTTTCCATCTTCAAATTAAAATTTAAATTTGTTTCTATATAATTGAACGAAATCGAAGGTTACAATACTTTCTAATCTCGTAAAGAGATATTTATATGTTAAACGCATTCCGAAATGGCGCCGCTCACCGGGTTTGTACATCCCCAAAGGGATAGCTGGAAGGTGAGAGATGGAAATGCGCACGTCCAGGTCCATCCCCAAAAATTTCTGGAGATTTTTCCACTTGTCCAGATTTGTTTCCGGGTCCCAAAGAGTGGTAGGACGCCTTAAATGCTCGGCCATCGTCACTAACCTTATATTATATCTTAAGCTATCATTTTGAGTTACCTAACATTTATAATTTGTTATCCTTCTACTTTCCCTGCTGATATACATGCGTAACAGGAAAATGTATTGGAATTGTGTCAAATTTGACCCTCCCAGTTTTATTTTGCAAACCTCCTGAACCCAAAACGTCAAAAACTCCCTAGATATGTGTGTGTGTGTTTGCATCTATTTTGTTTAATATCTCCGGATGGGGTAATGATTAAGAAATGAAATTTGACGTGGTAACTTGTATATGACGGACATCGATGCTATTAAATTTTGATGGTTAAAGGTTGAAGGAGTAGAGAGATAGAAGGGAGTAGTGTGGTGTATCTCCAGAGGGGTAGAACTTAATAAAGATGTTATTCATTATTAGCATTTCCAATTTTTTTTATAAATCTCCTCACTACCCTCAAAATAAAGCGTTTTGCCATTTCATAACGATTAATAATATAAAAAGTTTTTAGCACTGCACACAATTTTATTTATTATGATAAATAATATATTATTTTTAAAATAAAATCTCACAACTGTCTGGAAAGTAGCACAATTTGTTGCTACATTTTTTTCCTAGAAAATACACTTGTCAAAACAATTAAGAGAAGCAAGAGATGTTGGGTAGAAAATCATTTACCACCAATGATTCTGAATGTGGGATGCTACTTTTACGTAAGATATGGTAAAATATACAGTAATATGTGAAAAAATTTGCATTTTAGACAAATTGTTGTAATATTTTCATTTATTGTATTAGTTACAATATGCTGATCAACAATATGCACATCTACACTACTGGAATGAATGACATTTTCGAGTATTGTGTTGATTTTGTTGTGTGTACGATCTTTATGAATGGTCAAAATACCACACATGTTTGTGACATAGAATTGATGAGGTTGCAGAGATGGAAAAGTTTTTGCTACTCCTCCACCAATTGACATTATTTCATTATTTCATCAGTCATTTCTTCCATGATTGCCTCATTTTTCGCATGACCTATCCATATGCGATTATTTCTTGTGGGACACCTCAAGGCACGTGCATACAAGCATAAACCTGTTCTTTGCAAAAACTGAAGGAAGCTATTTGTGTGAAAGTCACCAAAATTGCCTTCAGAAATGCATCACTGATAATGAACATCACATGGGAGGAGATGTCTTCCACACTTGAGTCTGTAAAATGCTATTGCAATACGAACTCACATCTTCCAACAAATATCTTTTGTAGTAACAATTACAATGTCGTGATTTTTTTAAAAAAGTCCATCGTTTCTGCCCCATCCTGTACATTGTTAAGGAGCATGAATCATCATCATCTTTTCTTCTAGCATGGAATGATCAACCTTAAATGCGAATTCAATTTGCAGAAAACAAAAAAAATCAAAGAATATGTCTGATAAACAGGCCAAACGATATGTCAAATTCTTGGGCCATGTAAAGGCTATAATTGAATATTATAAATTGATTAATTTGACTAGAGGTAGGCAGTTATGCTTCTAGTTCTTATTAAATTTAATAATTATAAATAATTAATTTTTAATTTAGACATTTCTAAACTTTAATTTGGAATTGATCATTAAATTTAATATGAGATGGCAGCATAACTGCCTACCTCTAGTCAAATTCTTTAATTTCTAATATTTAATTATAGCCTTTACATGGCCCAAGAGTTTGACATATTGTTTGGCATGTTTGTTATATAACGGGCTATGATTGTTAATGTTTATATGTAATGTCTGTGAACATGTTTGGAAAAATGTGTGATCACAAGTGACACTAGGATGCTGGCAGAACGAGTGCTAAACAGAGACTTATGAAGCATGTGCATAATCCGAGACTTCCCCTCTCCTGGTCACTCATTATGTGAAACGTTGCTCCTTAAGCGAGTCATTTTTTCACAATTTGTTTTGCTTGTTATGCAAGGTTCCACTGTATTGCTGTTAGTAAATGAGACATTCCAATCGTTTTTTAATTGGTATAATCTGTGTAAAATTTATGTATTATTTCTAATGCGTCTTTTTGTCAAATTCTGATCCGATTGGTACATAAACCCGAAAACACGACTTTAAAGGTGGCAATTTCTTATGATTTGGTAAAAATGAAATCAAAGAGGAACACTTAAAAATAATTTTTGAATAAAGGTGCATTAAATTTTACCTTCAAAATGTTTCAATTTTTCCAAAAGAAAGGCAAATTCTTTCTCGGAATTTTCTGTATCCATTTTATTCGTCCAAAGGGTCTTTTCCGTCCGATTCTCGTTCTTTCTCCAAATGAAAGTCCAAAAGAGTCCTAATTCTTTGTTTCAATTTCTCCACGTTGTAAG